CGATCCATCCATCATCATCTCTGACGTAATCAATCTCCAATCCCTAACCCACAAACAAACAAAACCCATTAAAACTTAGCAACAAAATCTTCATTAAAAAAATCAAAAAAGATTACCTAAATCAAGTTTAAACATGAGGGTTGGGATATGATCAGAATTAGGCACTATTAAGATTAGCTAAATCAAATTTAATCATTATAAATAGAAATTAGCGTCTTCACCATGCTAAAAGAAGTAACTAAATAATCCAAAAACCAACAATCTAAGGTGAAAAAAATTAGAATTTAGATCAAATTCATCACCATGATTTATATTTCAATCAATTCCTCTAGAAACTAACTTAAAAAAGTACTTTTTATGCAAAAAAAACCCTAACAAAATGAAATCAGAGAAAATACCTGCAGTTTTCTTCTTCTCAAAGAGGAAATCTTGAGATAGAGAATTGTGAGCAATTTGTGAAGGTCAATCAACAAATCTGAAAATAAAAGACTGGTTACTATAAAAGACATACTTTGAAAATTCTTACAGAGAATAGTTATACAATTCTTTAAATAAGAGAAAGAATGGCAAATTATATTCACATTACAGTCTTCACAATTATACTAATTTATAACACAAATTTTGAGTTGCAGTGGCAACATTTACGTGAGAAGTAGCATTTCATAGTTCCTAAAAAGCTAGAAGCACTACTAATATTATTACAGATTTCAGAAGAAAACTTAGATACAATTCCAACAGTTATCTCTCAATCACTAACTCACATAGCTACTTAGTAACTGAATGTACAAACTGTAACAACCAATTAGTAAATAAAATATAATGAATTGTGATTGGTTAACATCAATCTGTAAGAACCACTTGGGAAGAAACATTTAACATTAGGTTTATTTCCCCTCAACAAAACCTTCGAGTCTAAATTTTTTTTTTAAAAAAAATCAACCTGTAAGATTTAAAAAATCATCACAAAGCCCAGAGAAAACAACCAAGATACAAACTTTCGACAATAGCGCCACCTGATCAAACATAGCGGTAAGATTTTTCTTCCACCCAAAAAAAAGAAAGTTTTTTTTAAGAATGACACTCAAAGTCAAACTAAAATCTATTAATTTTTTGGGAATGCTCAAATCTTCCTAACATCCAGCTCCAAAAATCAAACTAAATTCTCTTAAAGAAGTAAAATCAAGAATAGGAAAATTTAAAGATAAGAAGAAACATAGAAGCATCAAAGAGATCTGAAAACTTAAAGATTTTTTCTATATTAGTCCCTAGAATCTTTAATATTTTGAAATATAGTCTTGCAAATCACTAAAATTACTGTTAGATCCCTCTGTTTTTAAGCTGTATTAAGTTTCTTCTTCAGATATAAAGAACTAAACGCTTATTCCAATATTAGTTCCTAAGAAAGTGGGGACCTGATAGCAATTACAAATTTTTGAATGACTAATTTCAAAAATTAAAGATCTTAAGGATTAATATTAAAAAAACCAAAAAACTAAAGTAATACTTAGAATTTTAACAAAAACTACAACAAAAACTGGGCAAAAAATTCATGTTGGTATGGCTTATTGTATGTTAATTACAATGTCAGCAGAAACATAATTCCATTTAAGAGATTCAAGTGTACCTTCCCCTTCTGGCCCTTTGATAACAATCTAAGTGCAGCGTAAGTTGAGTAAATGGATCAACAACTGCTCCTCACCATCACTCTCCATATTTAATCTGACATACCATCTCTATAACCCTTGAATCAAATCAAATCAAACATTGAATTATTGAAGAAAAAGACTACAAAAGACACAACTTCAACCTAAACATGAAGGATGAAGAATGTGAGCACCTTTCAATCCATTGTCGCTTCATAATCACAAGGTAAAGTAATTCAAGAATATGTCATGATTGTCATTTGCCAAAAAAAGTTGCATTTCGAGGCATTAAGAGCAAGTTAACCCATCAAATTTTAAATGAAATGAGAGAATTTAATTAGTAAATTCAAAAAGGAAAGATAACCCATTGTTTATTTTGGATTCAAAATCTACAGTTCGCATTAAGAGCAAGTTAACCCATCAAATTTTAAATGAAATGAGAGAATTTAATTAGTAAATTCAAAAAGGAAAGATAACCCATTGTTTATTTTGGATTCAAAATCTACAGTTCCATCAGATTTTTAGAATTCAATTTGGAAAAAACAAAGAAATTAAAATAGTAAAACTCAATAATCATATAGGCACGTAAATTAAATAATTCATGGAGTAATAATATTTCCATCAAAATACAATCTGAAATTGAAGGTTTCCATCAAAATACAATCTGAAATTGAAGGTTTCCATCAAAATGAATCTTTTACACATTCTTCAAGTTGCACCAAGTTTAATTTACACTTTTTTAACCCTTCACTAACCAAAATATAGTTTTCGATCATATTCTCTTGAGTCACATTTGCATCAAAATGAAAAAAATTAAATATCAGAAATTAATATGGTTCTTAAAGTCCCTCAATCGCTTTTTACTTGTGATCATTAACTTTCAAACATTTCCCAACATTCTCCCAATAAATTCTTAATAAAGAACCAAGGGAAAAAAATTAAAAATTCTTAATAAAAAATCTCACCTTACGCCGTCGTCGTCATCCTGAAAAGAATCAGGCTTTGACCCAAGCACCCAAGCTTCATAAACTTCATTGTGGCAGAAACTGAATCACTTAAGAGTCTAATTAGTATGAGCTCAAGGCTAACCTTTACTTATAACCACCTAACCAACAACTCAACCAAGTGGTTTCATGCATCTCGAGGTACTCCACAGCACATTAATAACTCTTTTAGGTGAAGGCAAATAATAGTTGGTACAAATGATAAAATCAGCTACAAATTCATGATAAAATCAGCTAGAAATTCAACTTCAACCACATTCACAATTTCATATATTTGCACAATTTTAACATAACATAATTCACAGTTAGCATATCAAATCAAAAGTAAAATAATGAAGATCTCAGATCAAGATCAAACCTTTGTATTAGCTTGAAATTTAAGTTATATGAAGTAACTTGCATTAAAACATAAATCAAGCAAACCTCGAGAAAGGGAAATATAGAGTAATAACACTTCCTCCTCCTGCAAACCATTGCCTATCAATTCAACATAAGCCCATGTCCCTCCTCAACTTTCACCAAATAATTAAATAGTTAGCCCACGAAACTCTTCATATTTAATAAAAAATGATGCATGGTCTACTAAAAAATGACAGCAATCATCTCTAATACTAAGAAAATAAATGACTCTAATCATTTACATAATAAACAAATGATACTAATCAACAAAATGAAATCTTTAAAAGTGGGTACAATTAGAATTCATTACATCATATAGATACATAAATATATAAATAGATTGTTGGATCTATGAATGATATAGGAGTGATATAATTAATGCTTTGTGCCGTATCATATCCGGAAAGATGGTTATTTTCAGCAGTTACAACAAAAATAAGTAGCTAATATTAATTAATTCTTCAATATATATCCTCTAACATGTTCTAAACCCATCACATTTTAAATAAAAATGAGAGAGGGTATAACTAATAACTAATAAATTAAAAATGAAAGAAAACTCATCATTTGGTTTGGAGTAATAATTTAAAGTTCCATCAGATTTTTTTTAACAGTTCAATTGGAAATAAAATAAATAGGTTAAAATGACAAAACCCACAAATCAAATAGACTGGTAAATAAAGTAATTTTTCTGGAACTAATAAATTTTCTCTGAACTGATTTGAAGTTTTTTTACTCTTTCCTAATCATAATATAGTCTTTGATCATATTCTTTTGAGTTATAATTGCATCAAAATGAACAAATTGAATATCAAAAATTACTAACATCAGTTCTTAAAGTCCCAAAAACGGATTTTTTTTACTTTAATCATTAAGCTTAAAACATTTTCCAACATTCTCCCAATAAATTCATTTTTAACAAAAGAGAGAAGGAAAACACTTACAGAATATGACAGTGACAGTTTCATCTCCCACCAAAATTGGATCAAAATCTGCACAAAATTGGATCAAAATCTGCAAAATTCCAAAAATGGGTCGTTCAGGGAATTCACCAAACACTGAGATGGAAAAATAGCGACGAAACCCAACTCATAGCGACGTGTCTGTCGCAGCGAATGCGGAAGGATGAGCAAGGAGAGAAGAGGGTTGAGCTCGTCGTTTCCTCCGCCTCCGTTGCTCGGGCGCTGAGCCCTCGAGCTCCTCCTCGCTTCATCTCTTCATCCTCGGCTCGATTGGGGAGGCGAGAGAGCGAGCAGCTGGGGATTTCGAGAGAGGGGGGAGAGCGAGCAGCTGGAGGAACTTAGGGTTAGGGCTTCTGGCCTTGGAATCCTCCGGCAAAGCGGCGAGGATGCCAAAGTTGCGCTCCCGATGGAACGGCGAGAGCGGCGATCTGCTCGTGCTGGAGTTAGGCTAGGGTTTAGAGGGGAATGGTGGTGGATAGAGGTGCTAGGGCTTGAGCTTGGGCTAGGGTTAGGGTTAGGGTTTGGATCTGTGTCGGTTGAGAAGATGTCGAGCTCGAAGATGGCGCCACCGCCGGAGAAGGCGGCGGAGGGAGGGGAGGAGGATAGGAGACAGCGGAATCAATGCGGAAGAGGGGGGAGCTCATATGGAGCGAGGGTTTTTTTTTTCTTTTTTTGCTTTTTTTTTTGTCTCTGGATCGGGGTGAGAAGCCTGAGAAGGGGGTTTTGAATTTTGAAAACTGATCGGATATCTATGCAAATGGGAGGGGAGAGAATTACTGTTCAATTTACTGTAGCAGACATGATAATGAACAGGAATTCTCTGATCCTGCGCTATTTGTATCCAAGGAATAGACCCTACTATTTTATTATTATTATTATTAATATAACTCATATATTTATAATTATAATTTATTAATAATTCAATAAATAATATATAATATTTAAATATATATTATTAATTTAATTTTCAATAATATTTTTAAATTAACATAAAATAACACACGATTTTATTAAGCATACGGAAAACCAAACACACCCAAATTATTGAAAACATTAAAGAAAACACACACTAAATTGGTAAATCTAATCGGAGGTTGTCCCAAACTTCTGCCAAATGTGCTCGATGAGATCCTTCTTCAGCTGAATATGTTGGGTCTTATCTCGTAGTTCCGCTCTAGTCTGATTATCTGCCTCAGATCGGTGTTGAACATGGACTTGAAACTCCGGCAACACGTCTGTTTGAACATTGAAAGAGGCGCTAGAGCTAGCATTGTTCGACGGTTCAAAGTCGATATTTTCCCAGTTTCGCGAATACGTATCTCGTTCATCCTCTACTATCATGTTATGTAAAATAATGCACGCCCTCATTATTTTTCCTAAGACATCAAGATCCCACATTCTAGCTGGTTGGCGGACAATAGCGAAGCGTGCTTGGAGTACCCCGAATGCGCGTTCCACGTCCTTCCTGCATGATTCCTGTTGTTTGGCAAAAAATTGATGTTTGTTGCCTTGGGGCATTTGAATTGACTGCACGAAGACAGGCCACTTAGGGTAGATTTCGTCGGCAAGATAGTATGCAAGATTGTACTCCCGCCCATTCACGGTGAAGTTTACCCGTGGAGCTTCACCCGACTCAATGTCGTCAAAAACCGGTGACCTATCTAGTACATTTATGTCATTCAAACTACCAGGAAGCCCTGAAAAAGCATGCCATATCCACAAATCATATGACGCAACTGCCTCGAGGATAACTGTTGTCGTCCCCTTGGTCCACTAGTAAACTACCCTTGCCAAGCCTTAGGACAATTTTTCCACTGCCAGTGCATGCAATCAATACTTCCAATCATCCCTGGGAATCCACGTTCCTGTCCAACTTGGAGCAACCTCTGCAAGTCTTCCACATTTGGTCGTCGTAAGTATTCATCTTGAAACAATGCTATTACCCCTTCGCAAAACTTGCGAGTACACTCGATAGCAGTGGATTCTCCTATCTTGACGTACTCATCACAAGCATCGGCTGCGACTCCATATGCGAGCATGCGTATGGCAGCCGTACACTTCTGGATAGGCGTTAACCCAAGCTTGCCCGCATTATTGCGCCGTTGTGTGAAGTAATCGTCGTAATTTGATATAGAGTCCACAATTCGTAGAAAGAGAGGCCTTTTCATTCGATACCTGCGTCGGAACTGGGCGTCAGTGTAAGTGCATGACTCGGCAAAGTAGTCGGCCATGAGTCTCTCATGCGCTGCATGATGATCTCTATGTATGGATTTCCTCTTACGTGGTTGTTCGCTTCTCCTTTGCAATTCTTCAAGAAGTTCTCGCTGCCTATCAAGTATTTTTTCTTCTATTTCCCATTGTTGTTGGAACTCTTCTAGACTAAACTCATTTAGGAAAGGATCCATTGGATGCTATGATTTTTGAAATGTTGATAGGTATACTTATGATGTGCATCTGATCAGTTTATATAATGAAGGGTAGTTGTTCAAATAATTGAATTCACATGCAATTGTAGGGACATGTGTTGTAGGGCATGCAATATCAGAGACATGTGTCATAGGGCATGCATCTGCAGAGAGTTGTCAATTCATATTTTGTATTATTATGCAGGTGTAGTCATTTCATCCTTTGTATTTTTTGCAGTGAAAGGTCAATTCAACATTTGTTTGTTTTTGCAGTGAGTAGTAATTGTATCTTTTGTACTATTATGCAGTGAGAAGTCAATATCAATCGGCTTTATTGAACCATAAACAACAAATCAATGCTATTTAATGAAACATAAACAAATATTTTATTCAAACATAAACAACAATTTTATTCAAACATAAACAACAATTTTATTAATACATTCAACAAACATAGGCACCCACACAACTCCAAAATTAAACACACGGCACACAAAAACATCAGAAAGAAAACACACAATCATAACTTCTTGAGAAGGTCTTATTTTCCAAACAGGTCCTTCCTCAACATATTATAAGCTTCAGTTTGGCCAATATTAGCTCCGTGTTGACCGCAAGTGTGGGTAGAACATAAATTCTTTATAGACATAATTGAGGAATTTCTGAGTGGGGAAGTGTAGGCGTCTAAAAATGCCTATAAGTTCCCGTATGCGGCTCGAGATGAAAAGGAGGCGATAAACATCGTCATCCAAATTGAGAAGATTCAACCAAGTGGCCCGTACACTCAACAGTCACCGGAATGATGAACCAGATATCTCATGTGCTCGCAGGCTATTTCCAATGGGCCCGCGCACTCATTAGCCAGTTTCAAGTAACCCGCGCATTCGCTGGCCATCGAAACGACAATTTCGGTTCTTTTATGGATTCTTTCGGGATTTAAGGTTCCAACTGCTCTGATATTGTTGTTAGATAGTTGCTAACTGAAGATAGAGGGAATCCCTCGTTTTGATCCAAGGAAACCACCAACCAAGCCTATAAATAAGGGCTCAGGTGTTCATTTTTGAAGGATCTGGAAATCAAGAGGACGAAGTGCTGTCAAATTGGAGATTGGAGCACGAATTTCAGAGAGTTAGCAGATCTTGGCGGAGTTCTTCAACAAAGCAAGAGTTCGAGAGATCTGAGACTCATTCCACCCTCCTCCGGAATTAAGCTTAGTCTTAAATCCCGAGAAGAGCCGTGATTTTGCTTAGTCAAAATCACCGCTACTGCAATCACTTCCTTCGTGAAGCGAAAGCATTAATTATCCAAACTTCTGCTCACCGGATCTGATCCGTAGGCGGTCCACGGATAAACCCCGGCACCGGTAACGATCCCGCGCAAGCAATAGGCGATAAACTTCTATTGTGTGTAGTTTGAGAGAAAATTGTAACTTTTGATTTAAAGTCTTATAAAAAGGCTATATTTGTTGTTTGAGTTTATTGTAAGTGTTTGAAGCTGTAATGGACTCATCAATGAAATCAGTTTTCCACCCAAACACGCTGGCGACCACAGTGGGAGCCGACAGCCTTTCTGCAAAGGTTGATGTATCGCAACCTCGGATTCTCATCCCGGTTGAAGAAGAGGTCGAGTTTGAGTTCGACCAGCAGAAGTATGAGGAATACTTGTCCTCCCCCTCCAGATCTACCTCTCCTCGCAAGTCCAGGAAGGTTCCTCCCCGCCACTGCTTTAATCGTGGCTTGCAACGCCTCGCCGACACCCGACGAGGCCGACGCCGCAGATCTGAACTCCTTGTGCGAGGAGTTGACTACTGATGATGTGCTCGTTCTATCAAAGAGGGTACGACAGAGACGGCGACAACGCCTGGCACGCCAGATGGCCAAGGCCTTATAACTGGTTGATGGGATTCGCTATGAAGCGGATCTGAAGTTCAGGAGGCGCCAAACGTCGCAACAACGTGTGGCTAACTCCTCCAATTCAACCATGAATGAATGGATCCGCGTCAAAAGGACGCGCTCAACTCTTGAAGAAAGGATCCAGAAACGCCACACATTACTCGCGCATGCACGAACTTTGATGCAAGAAGCGCAGAAGTTGGAACAAGAAGAAGTGATCAAGAAGCCACCAAGATCACGCCGAGTCTGGAGGCCAAAGTCCAAACCGACATCAAGGACAACTCAAACGGTGCCCGAAGGCATCGAAAAATTCAAACCACCAAGTGGTGGCTCGGCCAAGTTCAAACCACCAAATGGTGGCTGGGCCAAGTTCAAACCACCAAATGGTGGCTCGGCCGAAGTCAAACCACCAAATGGTGGCTCGGCCAAGTTCAAACCACCAAATGGTGGCTTAGCCAAGTTCAAACCACCAAATGGTGGCTCGGCCGAAGTCAAACCACCAAATGGTGGTTTGAGCAAAACTCGGACTGGTTCGGTCCGTTCCGTACCTGATTTACTCCCTACAGTCCCGTCCGAGTTTCCGATGGCCTCTATTACTGTACCGACAAGTTCCACATCTCCGGTGGAGATCCACAACAGTGTGGATTTGTCCCACTTTAAAATAACAGTGAAAGATCGCCTTGGCTCTTCACCCAATGATCGAGGCAAAGCTCCGGTCAAAGAGCACTTAGGCCGATTGAATGAATTTCGAGCACATTGTCAGGCTGGAGGTCGTCATCCTAAACAGTGGAGGAGAAAGTATAACGGGAAAAGTCCCGCAAATGACCGCATTGGATTGCGTGTTGAAATCCAGGAGCCTGTTGAGGACCGACATTCACAAAAACGTCGCCTCAGACATGCGACTCCTGAAAATGCTAATGAAGCGTTATATCCCCAGAAGAAAACGTACTCGTCAGACGAAGACGTTATACCTGGGAAGTCGTGCCAACACACGATAGGTTGCTCCAGTCATCAAACTGACGAGTTGTACTATCAAGCTGGGGGTGCGAACAAATCCAGGAAAATTAGTGCCCGGAATACAGATTCTCACTGTCCATGTGCTAAAATCATCAAGGTAGTGTTGTCAGAATGTTGCTGTTGCAAGACCATCCCGGAGAGAGTTTCAGTATTTGAAAGAATCTCCACAAGAACATCTGAATCCAGATTAAGGCATTTCCGCAAGAAGAGAGCTGCTCTTCAGGATGATGAATTTCCAGAAGTGTCCATTAACATGACCGGGAGAGGAAAGTCGACGCGACACTTTAGTCCAGATCAGTTTGCCGCAGTGTCCCAACGTATAACTCGATTGCGATCGGGGACTAGTAGACGAAGGGACTACCAAAGAATACAGAAGGGACTTCCTTCGGATGATGAAACCTCGGATGCTTGCTCTGATGTTTGCTCGGATGCTTGCTCAGCGATGGCTTCCGATGACACCGCGTCGAGTGCAGGACAACCCTACGAATCACTCATGATTAGCGCCGAGCAAGTGGCTAAGATTCTTGAGGACGCTTTAACCAAGCAAAAAGATAGTTTCAAATTTGAAATGGAGCTGGCTATGCAGCAAATGAGGGAGATGCATGACCAGCAAATCGCGGCATTGACAACTCATCAGGGAGAGTCTATTCGTCGCAATAATCTGAACCAAGATGATAACGAGCGGGAAGCGGATGAGAATGTTAACATGAACACTCCTCCCGTCAATAACAATACTGGGGGTGGTCCTTCGGATGATAACAATACAAAGGAAGACCATGTTACTTCTCCCCAAAATCACTCGAAGACGGATAGGAGTGAGGATAAGAAAATGAGGGATTTGGAGAGCAAAATTAATGCGTTGATGAATGCTCAGGAGGTGAAAAGGTCCGGAATACCGTGCCCATATCCAAGAGAGTGGGAGTCAATCCCGTATCCGGCGAAGTTCAACTTAATCAACTTCACACCGTTTGATGGAAAGGGCTCACCCACTCAGCATTTAATATACTTCAAGTCTCACTTGGGGATAATCTCCAGGAATGAACCTTTGATGGTACGGTCATTCGTCGGCACTCTCCGCGGAGCAGCCTTCGATTGGTATCGTCGCCTCAAGCCGGGGAGCATTAGCAGTTGGGATGACATGGAGGACATGTTTCTCACAAATTTCTTCGACGACGACACTGAGGTCTCGATCGGAACATTATTTGATGAGAAGCAAAAGGACGGAGAGTTGGTGGAGAATTTCATTAAACGATTCCGGAACAAAGCCATGAATTGTAGGGATCCGATCAGTGAGGACTTCATCCTGGAGACTTGTCACAACAACCTTTCATTGGATATTCTCGAAGCCATGGGAATGGCACCGTCGAAGACCTGGAAAGATTTGAAGGTCCGAGGGGAAAGAGCCGAACGTTTCCTCAAAAGGAAAAAGGCCGAAAGAGGTCGAACGACGGCACCAGCCCCGCAACAGAATTTTGTTTCTAAGAGAAAAGGGAAAGCGCAAGTGAATGCAGTGGACGCGAACCAAACATTCGAAGTACAATCGCAACCACAACAGCAGCAGTCACGGTGGCAACAACAGCCTCAGAAACAGAAGACTTTGGAACCGAAATTCCCGAAGGTCTACTCATTCAAAGAAGATGAAGTCCCCGGTATTTTTAAATACCTCATAGAAAATAACAAGATTAAGTTGCCTCCGATCCAAGATCAGGAAGACGCCAAAAGGGTTAATGATCCGAAATACTGTGCATTCCACAGAGTGGTGCACCACCCTACCAAGTCGTGTTACGCCCTAAAAGACAAGATCCAAGCTTTGATTGATGTTGGGGTCATCACTATGAAGCAGCCTAAAGAGAAGAAAGTGGGTGCGGATGCAGTGTCGATCAGCTTCGGATCTGTCCCGTTGAACTGGTTTCAACCCGAACCTGCGATAAAAGTTGCAATGAACACCGTGAATGATGATCCTTATAAACAACGCCAAAAGGGACTTGTGCCACACACGGCCCCGAATGGCGAAATTCTTTGGGTTCATCCCGATCTGGTCAAAGATGAATAGTGGGTCGGATCGTCATCCAAAAAGAAATCAAAAGGCAAGGGAAAATCCTGTTACGGAGCCTTTGCTATTCCAGAAGTAGACGACGAAGCAATTCCTGTTTTCTCATTTTCCAACAATGAACATGAAACTTTTGT